TAAGATATCGATGCGAAAGCGCTCAGCGGAAAATGATATCGCACGACACGGCCATTCGGTTGCACTGAAGTTACATAGTACGTGACGTCATAATATAAGAAGCGTGAATTTAACCATTGTAACGTAATGAAAGTCAAGTCTGTTTAGTTAGGACTGTGTCAGTGCATTCACTTTGAGTGATTATATAATATAACTATTATGGACTTCAGTGAAATGTCAATATGTGGTCATAAGGACTCATGGCAATTGATATTGACCTTATGCTCGGTCGCGATCACTTTCTGTGTCTTTTGTCAATATCAATTGCCATGAGTCCTTATAACCACATATCGACCTACACTGAAGTCCATAATAGTTATATTATTATATAGCTAATAAATAGTCTCTAATAAAATTCTGCCAAAAACCTAGATAATTTTAGCGTTGAATATCTTGACGATTTATTGAACACTAATTTTGTATTACGTATACGAGTGTGCCCGAAACATTCCGAATACGAGCGTTTAATATCGAACGCCCCGTTGTAAACAAAAAATGTCGTCTGGTGAAATTCTCAGAGTTAAATAAAGGAAAGGAAATGGAATCTCGGTAAGTTGTGTGTGTGTGTGTGTGTTTTACACAAAAATGAAATTATTAATTGAAAATTTAGTACGTATTAGACTCATTAACCTAAAAACCTAAAAAAGCAAATCATAACGCTTGGTATGGTCATCGGAATAATGCGATATTGAACACTTACAAGACTGGCGTTAATTTGAATACCGATGCATTAATTTGAGTTTTTTAGTTGGAATTACTATAAATTATGAGGAAATGTTTTAGCTATATGAAAAAGGAGTTAATGAACTATTGGTGACGTTGGCTGTACAAATGCACTCACAAGCCCGTGCATTTGTACAGCCAACGAGTGCCAATATTCACCAATATAAGTTCAATAACCCTATATTATATAATCACTCAAAGTGAATGCAATGACACAGTTCTAACTGAACAGACTTGTCTGTCATTACGTCACAATGGTTAAAACACGCTACTTATATTATGACGTCACGTTCTACGTAACTTTAGTGCAACCGGTGTGTCGTGCGATATCATTTTCCGCGGACGTGCTTTTGCGTCGATATCGCAAAAGATGTATATCACGTGACTTCCTTTCAGCCAATGAAAATTACGAAAATAATATTTTTATATGATATGTAATTATATATCAGTTTATGTATATCAGTACGATAATTTGTATATATATTAGTATGCATGTATATCAGTACGTTAATTTGACTTTGAAGTATATTTGTATATAATCATGATGTTTATCAGCATGTGTTAATGTGTTTTTTATATATAATTATGTACTGTAAAAGTACTTAATTCCTTAAGGTCATAATTCCGCGGAAGCAAAATTTCTGTTCAATCTGCGAGTATGAAATTACGTGGATATCTCGGCTTGATATTTTATGCTCTTAATGAATCTTTAGTACGCTGTGAAAAATTTCCGCGGAAAAATTACACGCGTACAAAGCGGGAATTAATCCCACGCGGAAAAAAGTACGTCTACAGCAGGGATGGGGTAATGGTAATGTGTAATGGTAATTGACTGTAATTAATTACAAATTTTGATGTAATTGAAAGTAATGTGTAATTGACCAAATTTTCAATTACAAGTAATGGTAATTTAATTAATTACTTTGCAAAAAGCCATGTAATTCACAATTACTTTTCAATTACATTCAATTACACTGGTTTTAAATAAATGGAAAATAGTCTCCTCTCCTTCAATTTCATAAACATTATTTATGAAAGGTTAATAACTTATATTTTGGACCAAACATCTTAATAGTAAAATTTCTTGAAAAGAACTTCCCTTTTTATGTCAATTGTTGTTTAAATACAATGTCCCTTTTCATTTAAAAAAACCCTTTTAAATCAAGTTAATCTTTGTAAAGTTTACAAATAAAATTCATATTTTGATTTTTAATTAATTAATCCATATGAGAATAAGAAGTCCAATGGCTTCTAATCCTTTTGTTGGCCATATCTTTAGCTTGTGTTGGAAGTTATTAACAGGTGCTAATTAGTATCTTGGGGTCATATACTTATTCCTAAATAAACATTTTTCACACCTTTGACTTTGTCTGTTGGTGTTTTTATAGTCATACTCTTTGACTTGAAATTGTAGTTTGGCACAGAATAAGTCAAATACCCACATTCTGAGGTGAACCTATGATGATGAAATAAGGAAATATAAAGGCAAATAAAAGCATCAAAAGTACATTTAGCATAAAATAACTTGTTTATGGGAAAGTAAAATTGATTCCAAAATTGAAACACATGAACTAAGGTAAAACCATCTGTAAACTTTCTACTAGTCAGTATCTACATGTATGCATAAGGATATGGAAATAACGAACAGTATTCAATCTCAACGTCCATTAAACAAATATACAAAACAAGAGCAGAGCAAACACGGACCTCCGAAACATCAGAGGTGGGATCAGGTGCCATGGAGGAGTGAGCATCCCCTGCTGACCGGTCACACCCGCCGTGTGCTCATTGTCATAATCAGGAAATAACGGAAAAATCCGTAGTCAATTCAGTGTATAAATAATGGACTAACAATTGGTATGAAAAACGTCAGTCAGCATTTCATTCAATGATAAATTGTATTTGCTGACAAGGTCATTGTATCGACCATAGAATTTACGAAATGATGACTTTAAACGAGACTGTTGATATTCTTGTTTCATTAACTTGCTTGTCAATGATTTACCTCGTTTAAGAAATTGTTCATACGTAGAGCATGCTCTTGCGTATCGAATCAACTGAGATATAAATACTCCGTATGCAGGTGATGAAGGTATATTGCTGCATTTTTCTCACAAATACTCCAGTGGAAAGAATCTTCAGCATGGCATGAAAATCTTAAAATTAATCGAAGATATATTAGGTTAGGGGACACAATATTTGAAAAATGTATGAAGCTTTTAATAATATTATTGTAAAAAATGTTGTAAAATAAACTGTAATAAATGTAAAGGAATATACATGACTATTTACTTTTATAGGTGTATTCTTGAATGTAATTTGTAATTTAATTAATTACATTTGCAAAGTAATTGTAATTTAATTAATTACATTTCAAAATTCATGTAATGGTAATGGTAATTTAATTGAAGTTTTTGGGAAAGTAATTGTAATTTAATTAATTACTTTCCTATGTAATTGACCCCATCCCTGGTCTACAGTATATCAGTATATCGGTATATCAGTACTTGAAGTAGTTCTAGAAGGCCATGAACTTAACAGGCTACCTTCTTTAAATAAAATATTATTATCATTTTTATGTAGTTAGAGTATGAAAGTATATGTCAAAATGGAGGTTTGAATCTAGTATACATACTAATTAACAACATGAATAATGCATCGCTGATAACGGAAGTGGGGTAATAAAACAACAGCGAGGACGAGGCATGAGGAACACTGCATCATGACAACTTAATCATGTACTCAATGGTTAGGAAGTAAATAAGGAAGAGATAAACAGCTACATATAGTTAAACTTAATCGATATCCCTGATTCACCGTTTTCTGCTTGACTTACTACTGTACATACCCTCTCTCTCTCTCTCTCTCTCTCTCTCTCTCTCTCTCTCTCTCTCTCTCTCTCTCTCCCTGGCTCAGATGCCCTAAGGTTAATTCAACAGCGTTATTCTGGAATCAACACAAACATACTTGTTTTATAATTTTGGACCTCAAATTAAAAGTTCTATAATTTTTTGGGTCACCAAATAATAATTTAAATCTAAAACAAGAATTAAACAGGTTAAGTGCAAATCATAAAAATAACTTTTGTAAGAGTGACAAGAGCTGAATAACTACTTTATGGATTCTGTTCAAGTTATAAAAGAATGAGGTAGAAAATGGTACGAGTTCTGTCTTTATTATGGTGTCTTAAATGAGAAAGGACAAGGGTAATAAACAAACGACTACCGATGCATTCTGTTTAATTCAAGTCTCTTATCATGCTTATAGTCTACAACTTGTGGAAAAAACCACGATTCTCCTTAAGGACAGATGATACAAACAAACGAAAGAAAATGATGAATGGATGAATTGGTGTTTCTGTCCGCACCAATTTTCATTGTAAATGAGTGTCACCTACAAAATTTAACTTTTTAAAAAAATTTATTCATTAAAAATATTTATTTATAAAAATTATTCATTTCATTTATATATAAACATGGTTTACATGTAGTTATTATCATTAATGATCTTTGAAGAAGAAAAACGTTTGTACTATCTTTTTCTCCATTTTATCAGAGTTTATTTACTGCGGTATAAGTGCTTTATTTTATCATTATTTATTTATTATCAACTGTAAAAATAAGCGAAAATTTTCAAATTTTGTTTTTACTGATTGTATTTATAAGCCATTTTTGAAGAAATGACTCCCCAGGTTTTTTTTTCTTATATCATTATATGTTAGCCTATATAAGGTGATGATAGAAATCCGATGTGTATCCTGAGTCACAATTACGTTTTCCACTAAGTTTTCTTTGTAAAAGTACTCAAAAGTTGAAAACCTAAGTAAGTGCATGATAAACATGGTCCTTACATGTGAGAAGCAAAAGGAAAATCGGTATATATATTGAATCATATCAAAATATCTTGTTTTTTTTTCTTTTTTTTTTTAGATTTTATACAAAAATATTTTTTTCCGACACCATAGATAAAAGATTGATACAAACAACAATAAAAGCAAAAAGAAAAAAAAGAAAGAAAAAGAAAAGAAAAATGTTTCAGGAAATTAAAAAATGTAAAAATGATCTCTAATTTTGATCTTGTTTGACTCAACAGTAAGTAGAAAAACAACTGAACAGGGTTTTCCGCCACTTAATAATCTTCCATCCTGGTCAGACATGTATAAAGGGTATCACAGAACCGAAAGAAAAAGAAATACAACAGATTAAAGGGACTGTATTGATTTAACCCATCAGAAGAGAATGGAGATACCAGTGGACGTATCAAATATAGACTTCATCTATCATTTACCCAATGCCATTATCCTTGTGTTTTACGTCGTTCTAGGCAGTCTGGGAAATGTTTCTGTAATTATCGTGTACGTGAAGGACATGAAAAATGTCTTCAGTTCCGGACGGCTTTTTATTCCCTTCCTGGCTTTTGTTGATCTTATCACACTTAATTATAATGGTTGGGTAGAATTTTCATCAGAGGTTCAGCAGTTTCATGACACCAGGGACAAAGAATTGGCTTGTAAGATCAACAAATTCATCGGTCTCGTTTTGGTTGTAACTTCCGGTTGTATTTACTTCGCCATTGCGGTCCACAGGTATATGTTAATATGTAGACCTCATAGTAAAGCCATTACTCTGAAAGTTAAAGTCGCCATCATGTTTGTACTCGGGATTTTCGTTGTGGGAATCTCCGTTCCAAGTTACTTTTTCGCTGGATTCACTTCAATTTTGATAAGGTCGAAGATATTTGTAAATGAAACAAAGACGGTCTTTATATGCGGTACGGAGGAACGCTTTGAAAACGCTACCAGCTCAAATGCATATTACTACATTTTAACGATCAATTCTCTCATATGGAGTTCTCTAATGGCCATACTTTACACAACAGTGGGTAGAAAAATACGTCAGACAATGAAAGAAGCAAAGACACCAAAACCAAAAACAAAAGATGATTACGAACCTTCCAATACAGATTCGTCAAGCAAGGGTCGTGACCCCGAGCAGAAGCCCAAACCGAGGCTAGTGAAACAGATAACTGCCAGGTCTATTACAACCTTCATCACAAACAACCGTCTGTCTTGGATGTTTATTCTGATGACTATACTTAATGTCGTGTGTTTTGTACCCAAGTTAATACTGGATATCCATTACAATAAAGACAGGTACTTCTTCCTGGGGAAATCTATGTCTCTCTGTTTGCTGCTAGTGTTTTTTGATAACTTCTATCTTTTCAACAACGTGGTTAATCCGTTTATTTATGGATTTTTTGATAAGGAGTTTAGAACCAGATTTAAGAGAAGATTTTGTAAATACTGTAATTGAGTGACAATTAAATTTGATATTACTGCGTTCAGTGACAAAGAGGTCAAAGATATTTATATATAGATTTTTTAGAATTCGTGTGCAATAAAGAGTAGAACACTAATAGATTAATAACATTGACCTCTTATTTGTAAAAATGATGAACTTTAGAGTATTTTGTGTTTTTTTTCCTGAAGCACAGGTAATAATTTCACATAACACACTTAAGGTACATTGATACTCTGATAAGAAAGATAACTCTTTATGTCAAAATTGTCTATTATTCCTTTATAAATTTGTCAAGTTTAAGTGCCTTTTTTGACAAATTTTGCCCCGCAAACCATGCTATAATTGTTCGTATTTTATTCAGCATAGACATATCCTTTGGAAAATCATAAAAGTTAAAGAAAAATTTCAATATTCATGAGTGAACAGAGGGTTTCTGAACCTTAAGCACACTAAATATTAATAGTAGTTTTTATGTACATGGACAGTATAAAAAGCATTATTTTTTGACAGAATAAAATATATAGTGATAATAAAAAGTATTCAAGGTCAAGAAAGTTCTTTTTAATTATTATTAATTATTGGAAAATTTGTATATATTTTCAAGCATGGAAAGCTTTTAAGAAACCTCTCTACACTGCACACTCAAGAGTTCGGATTCTATGATAATATTCTTCTGGAATTAGAGTGATCTGCCCTTAGATCTAAATTCTAAAAAAAAAAAAATGAAATTTACAGAATATTACTCAATATGTAATTATTTTTAGCATTCTTAACATTTTGAAAAGGTCATAATCAATTAGTTGAACATGTCATTTACATGTAGTTTCCTTATGGAAGTAAAAAACAGTGATTTCTTTTCACTCATACTGATTTGTTTTTGGCATTTTTCCCAAGGGTATAGATGCCACGCACCATGCAGTGAAAATTAAATAGATAAGCTCAATATTTTAATTTTTTCCCTTGAAAATGATTTCTGAGTTTTGGAGCTGACAAAGGGTTGGGTACTTTGCTGTTGACAAGAAATCTGGATTTTCCTGTCTCACTAGAATCATCTGACATAAAAACTAATAAACAATTTATGTCTTCAGGATATTTACTATTCAGCGATAATAAAATAAGAAAAGTCTCCTAGTGAAAGAAGAAAAGAATAATTAACTAGATGTACTGTGAGCGATGAGCTCACTAAATGATACCCCCTGCCTCCATATACTTATTATTGCAAAGTTCATGTTTTGCTGTGGCCGGGAAACCCAAAATATGTGTCGGATCAAAAAGTTAAATATGAGGTACACAATGGCAATATGTAATAAAGATTCTGTGAAAGTTTCATCAAATTTTATTCAGTGGTATGAGAGGAGTTGTGGATAAGAGATGGGTACACAGAAACCTAACAGACGGACGGAAGGACGGACGAACGTACAGACGGACGGAATTAACGATTACTATATACCCTCCCGCTTTTCAAGCGGGGGATATAATGAAATATGACAGTTATCGATCTGATAACAGTCTGTGTTATAATGTATAGCTCTTTGTATGTTTTTTAAATCAGTTGGTTGTAAGTAGGAGATGATGATTGATGATCTGTCATCCGTCTGATGTTATCTGAAGGACCTCTTCCAAGTGTTCTGTGCTGATTTCTCACTTCAATTTTGAATTACGGTACTTAGTATTTACATCGGTATTGAACAAGAAAACAAAGTCAACCGGAAACTGTAGATAAGAATGCAGTTGTATCTGTCTTAATTAATTCATTTTAAAAACTGAAAAAAGGTAATTTTAATTTCAATATTTCATTTATTTATCTTACATTTTACCGAAACCACAATTCACAACATTGCCTCCCTGAGTTTGTTGAGGAAAAGTGTTTCAATTAATCATTGTCAAAAAAATCGCACTGTATATCAAGGAAGTTTATTTATAGGATAAACCATACAGGATGGCGGCACTTCAGACATATTAAAATAAATATGGTTTTAACTACGGCAGAGGCCATTTCAATTTCTTCAACCTCCGTTCGATGATAAATTGCCCACGTTTTTACTGACTTATAGAAAGCGCGTGTTTGTCTGTTTAATAAAAGGTGTTCTGTTAAAGGGAGATTATAAGAGAGACCCCTCTCTCTCTCTCTCTCTCTCTCTCTCTCTCTCTCTCTCTCTCTCTCTGTTGTAACAAAGGGTTATGAAAACTTGATTATTACAATTAACACAGACTCGGGTTTTTTTTATTTGAACTTTTAACTGACAATTCCTCGGGAGATGTTAATCAGACGTGATGCAAGAACAGCATTGAGAAGTCCTCAGAATTAATGATTTTATTTGAAAATCCTACTTATTAATAAAATAATTATTAAGCTCCTTTAATACTTTTCTTTTTCTCCCTTGTTGAAAAAAGAAAAATCATTAGACTGATTTTCTTTAGCAAGATCTCCACAGTTCTTTCATTTTATAATTAACACTTTAGATCAGACGTTTGGGGCTATGCAAAATATTCAAATATAGCTTAAATTTTTGGTCATTTTTAAGAAATTTTCAAGATTTGAAAAAAAAATGACGGAATTCATGACGTCATAAAACAAAGACAGGAGAAAAAATTACATCATTCTCATTTGATATGAAGTCACAAAGAGTCCAAGTAAAACTTAACATATTTTCAATTAAGGATGACTTTGTTAGTAATCCTGATTTTTCAGAAATACACAGCGCTAAAAATGGTCCCATGTGAACCTTGTTCTTTATTTCAAATTCTAGAAATTCTAGAACATTCTAGAGAATGTTAGAAAAAGACACCGGGAAGATGACATGTGATTCTTCCCTGGAGTCTATAATTATATAGTGTATCTTTGAGAAAACTCGCATATATAGGTTTTTCAATTGTTTTAGCAGTGTTGAGAAAAAAAATGTAAAAAAAGAAAAGATTCAGAAAATAAGAAATTAAGACACATTCATGGGCTAAAATAAAAAAAATACATGTAGCACCTTGTTGTTGGTCCAAGTTCAAAATACCCTTTCTTTTTTTTTTATTTCATTGTAATAAACACGGGAGTTTTGCGTTTATCCGTGAAGGTTAGAAGTTAGCGCTTTTCGATGCGAAACCTACGCATTAATTAGCAAAACTTTTTCTTTATTTTCAATTTCATTTAAGTGTGAAGTTTTGCATTACGTCACAATCTACACGTAATATGACAGCTGAACTCAAGGTAAATAGTACACGTAGACTGGGCAAGGGTCAGCTATTTGTAAATAATAACAGCCGTCACTTTTAAAATTGAAATAAATAAGAATATAATTATTTTATGATTCATAGGGTTGTATTTATAATTTTGTAATATGAAAGAGAAACAATAAACAATTCGATCTTTTTATGTTAAGAAATAAATTTATTATTGCCAAATTTGTATAAAATAGTCCAACTTTTGCGCATGCTTATAAGAGATTTTCCAACCTATGTGTCAAAAATACAATTTTTAAAAATACCTGTAATTAACACATTTTTATATAAAACTATTCTGAAAGATGCATGTTTACCTTACAATTCTAGATAAAAATAATTACTATTTGCTTATAATTATCACGAGAAAAATAGCTTTGAAATTGAATAACGGACGCTACGAGTGTCGGTCAACATGATGGGTTAACTTTAAACATTGAAATTAATGTAATTGTATTAAAAATACACGATTATTACTCTATTACGATCATAGAGGTCATTTGGTGGTTGGCAGTTAAATTTTGACTGACATAACAATGTCAAACCATAACTGCTGAAGCACAGTGATTCGATTATGTTACGTAGAAATTTTATGGACATATTTTTTTCAATAAGATGGAAAGAAAATATAATATTTACCATTACTTATCTGTTAAAGCCGCATTTTTTCCTGTCTTCGTACACTAGTAACATAACAATATTTGGCTGTTACATGTTGACAAGAAATTGAAAAACGGATATGACATATGCATGTTGACACCTTTTCTGGTCAAATAATTTACTTCTTACGCAGTATGACAATATTATCATGAAATTTGGAGTATTTGTTTATATTTTAAGGTAATTAGCAGAGGTAAACTCATTTATTTTATTTTCAGATGCTATGCTACCAGCTACTAAGGATTTTCTTGGCTGATTGCCTGTTATTATTTGACCATTGTCAAAATTTAAATCTGTGCTGATACAAGATTTTTTTTCTTATTATTTTGTTAAAGATAAAATTTTATTAGTAAACTTCAGTTGTATATTAATGAAGAACAAATAATAAAATTACTAAATAAAAATTACAAAGCTGTAGAGATTTAAATTATCCCTTCCATGAAAAACTGTGAGGGATGTTATAATGTAACATCCGTCACAGCGCTTAAAATTCATTCATTCATTCTTTCTTTATTTCCTCCCATTGGAGATTCATGAACATATAAGAACACATAGTGAAAGAACAAAAATATAACATCATAAAAGTGCTTATTATTTACATTAATGCAAAATTAAATTTGAAAAAGAAGAAATTGTCTTATATGTTTGCAAAAAAATAAAGTTAATGCACAGGGGTTAGAAGTATCCATTTACGAGTATGTTATCTTTCTTTGATACACCGCAGCCACATCTCTTATAAGGCGAAAGTTAAGAATATGGAGTTCTGGTGCATCACGGTCGGAAAGTACGGGTGTTAGACATCTGGCACCGAGCAGAAACAAGTATAATTCGTTTCCAGGGAGTCCTGAGAGTTCGGCGCCTAGTGAGATGTCGTAATCCTCAATCACAGTTTCCCACCAGGCGTCGCGAAACAGAGATGTTTCGGGGCAAACCGTAGTAATGTGCTCGAACACATTTGTGAAAGATTTTGCGCAGAGGCAGCATGTTTCCGGCAGTACATCTAAAAGGGTCCATAGCTTGACAATGAATTTACATAAAACAATTTCATGGATATTTTTTGGGATGATCCACAGATGCTCAGGTGGTTTGCTTGCGCAGAGAACGTTGAATCTAGCAAAGTCCGGGTCGACAAGCATTCGGTT